TCCAAATGCACTTATTATTTTAAGTTTGTGATCCTCTTTTCCCGTATTTTGGCCTTTAGTGCGGCTGGAGGTGAGTCGATGCAGTCAATACAGTGTGTTGTGGTGTAAGCATGGAAATCCCAATTTTGTCGATGCAAGTGACTCACTTTTGGTGATGAAGACTGACGATGGGATAATTTTGGCAGCCTTTAGTTCTACCTATGCCTCACAAATCTATCAGAAGTGGAAATTAACGTTGTCTCCACTCAAAATCGAGTATTTTTTTTAAAGAGTGATGGTGATTTGGTGGCGTTGCTCTACAACAAGCTCAAGGACATCAAATAAAACTGCTGAATAAATAAAGTCCAACAGGGAACGAGGATGCAGGAAAATGAGACACTTTCACCTCACCTTACCACTCTTGGGTTCTCCTTTAGGCCAAAATGCATTCGAGCGTCAGGGACACAATTGAACGACTGCTAACCTACTTGGGAATGCAAAATATACTGGAAAAGGGTGAGATGACTGTAAAAACCATGAAAAATCTATCCGTCCATGTGATTTATGTCAGTGACTGGGTCATCCTTCTCCACAATGAAACGGTATCATTGGAAGCTCAGCTTACCACGTTCGCACCGTCTACGCCGAAGCCATGAAGTCCATCAAATACTGTGGCAAGAGGAGAAAGTGCAGAACATTGAATGTGAGTTTACTGTCCACCAGTAAGGTCGTCTCAACGGATGTCACATAAATGTATTAAAGGAGGACTACATTTCCACACAATGAAATCATAACCTTTTGATTTTCCGTTCCTTTGGTTACCTTTAAGGCATCTATTGCAAGTATAAGTAGTCCAATTCCTGCGTACACATTCAACATTGCAACGACAAAGCTTTTCATCGAGGAGTTACGTAACACCATTACAAAATTATCAAGTTCGCTAGACACTGTTCGAAAGACCATAACTGAGTTTCAAAACTCAGCAAGCGACCTTCTCAATTCTCTGAAATCGAAGCTCATTTTATCACGAGTGTTAGAGCAGACCGAGGCAATCCTGGATGAGACCGCGTTCCAGTGAGACAAAGTACTGAGACGGCTTGATGAAGCGGTCAAGTTAGTGGAGATTCAAGTTTCCACTTATTCCAAGCATATTCAAATCGGCTTCTTTGTTGTGGGTGGAATAATCACAGTCGTGGTGATAATCGCAGCGTTGATTAAAACCCGTCTTGTCCACCAAGCCTTTGAAGACCACCTCTTCGCCAATCTCACCACCGTGCCCATCGGTTTGTTCTCCGTCTTACACCTTGGCAATTTGACCTCTATCCCTATTCTAACGCCTCAATGACCATATTTTGAAGTTGGATTCCACAAATGCCAAGTCGAACACAAAATTGTGTGTGGCAAAAAGGCGGTGTGCTGCTGCTCCACTCTCTTCATTCCACTGTTGCTCACCTTTGCTGTCATCATCCGCTTCTTCCTTTTGACCACAATATCTAGTCAATTGCAAATCTCAAATCCACCTACATCTACACTTTTGCTCAACTACAAACAAAAGCTTATTGTTTTACTTTGTACTCCATAAAAAAGCGAAAAAAAGACATTGGTACGAGGTTTGAGTTTTAAAAGAGACAACAAGAGGAAAGTTGTTATGTGCATTAGATGTTAAAGCTTATCCCTTTTTTCTCGCTGTAGGCGAATTCTGCATTTACTTGGAACGCGAAAGTGCTGTCAATCAGACGGACTTTGTTGTCAGTGGTTATTTGGGCTCAAGAATGGAGAGTATTCATTAGTAGACGTGATATTAGTGGAAGTGTCGCTGTCTTCAACACTCCTCCTCCAAGGCGTGGACTTTACGCCCTCATACAGACCTGTAACGGTGCAGCAACTCGGCATCCCTTCGGTCTCCTCTCTGCACAGGGCTATGACAATGTAATAGACATGCACAACCTTGTCAACACTTCACAATTGACAAACGTCATTCAACAAGGAAGAGTGTATGTTTTCATTGTCTTTTTGTCTTGCTGTTGCTGGACTTGAGTTGAGGGGGAAAAACCGAAATCACGGATTTGTCCTGAAGCTTAAGGTGGGGACCTTTTGAAAGCACATTGATTTTCTCGGCCACTGATGCATAAGACACCCAACCAAGTGTTGTCTTTTACGAAACTGGTGGAAAGGAGGGAGTAAAAGTGACTCAAAATTGCCTCATCTCTTCTCCTTGTAGAGCTGTAAAACAACAGAAAAGGAACCCAAACACTTCAAAGTTGCCGTTTAAAGTGTCAAAGGTGGTGGAAATAAGAAGGCGCCTAAATAAAAGCCTCACCAATTTTAAAGTAACCGTAAGTTTACTCTCTACCAGTCACTTTTGACCACATCCCTCCAAACTGCTGTCGGCAAGGGGACTTGACAAAGCACAGACTTGCTAGAGGTTATCGTTTCCACCTTCCTTACCCTTGAAACTCTTGTCATCGAACGTTTCTTCCACACTGATAGTCAAAAAGTTGCATTTGTGGAGATGATCTTCCTTGATTCGGCATCTGCAGACACATTGTGTCTTTTAGGACTTAACAAGAATCCTAAATCCGAACGACACGGACGCCGCACCATTGGAGAGGATGCTTGAGGAAACAAAAAAACGTCATAGGCGGGAATTTTGCCAAGCCAAATGAATTCCTAAGTACGGCGATTAAGTCTGTGCGCAAAATCAGGTCACAAATGGATAAAATTTTGAATTTTCTCAAAGCTTTGGATTCTACAAAGTCGCATTTTTTGGATCCGTTTGATGAATTGCTAAAGGCTCTCTACGAAACTCGTCATGTAAGTACCTTTGTTTTGCCATTTTTCTTTTCCCTTAACTAACTGCTATTGTTGATCCAGAGAGAAGGTCTGCTTTGATAAATAATAAAACTTTCAATGACGACATCCTTTCATCCGTCAAGTCCTTTAAGGGTGTCGTCAGGTGCCGTTTTTGGGTTTCTTCTTTTTACCGAAGGCAACCGATTCAACGTGCAATGTAAGTTCAGGCGGTAGAAGAAGATAAACTGATGACAGAACAACAATCTAACCGAAAGTCTGCTTGACTACGCGAGAGTGGATGGAGAAAGTCCTTTAAGGCACTGCCTCCTAGCCTGTTTTCATGTGAGGAGGCGCACGCGGCTTGCAATGCAGCAATCGGTGTGACTTGTGGAGAGGCGGATGGTGTGCGCCTCCTTCTCGGTCTTGTCTACGTCTTCGCGCTCAACGTCCTTTTCATCACCCACCTCTATTTTGCCCTCTTCAACCTCGCCTTCTTCCAGGCTCTTCGAATTCGCATGCTCAGTGCCA